GGAAAAGGGGAAGATGGGTTTCCCTTCCCCTAAAGCACCCTAGACAGATTCTGGCTTTGTTGTAGGAGCTTTCCATGCAGAAAAGAAAAAGCCATCCCCAACTGTGGGTAAGAATTGTAAATTGGGCCACGGTCGCTCAGACACACTCTACAGAGGCAGTTTTATTGACGCGTCACCCTTTCTAAATAGGGCTGTTGGCGTGAGTGAGGTGAGCCTTGGTGTAATGTGTCAGAGGAGGGGGAGACCGCCCTGGAAAAGGCCGACTCCTCCCTCGCCCCAGCGCCCGAAATGGCGACATTAAATCACGCATTTTCCTGCTTGGATTGGAGATGGCTTTCTGCTCATGTAAAATTAAAAGTGATAAAATGTCCAGTTAGGCATTCAGACTCTAGTGGGTCCTTTTCACAGTCCATGTGAAATTTCAGGCCAGAACATTCCAACCCAGATTAAAAGAGCTGGAAGAGGGGAGCTCTGGTGGCCTAATGGCAAGGACCTGCAAGTACAATCCCAGAGGTGCACGGTTCGAATCCACCAGATGCTCTGCCAGGGAAAGAGGGACAGTTTCCTCCTGTCAGATCTGATTTGACGGTACACTCACACAAAAATAATAATAATTTTAAAAAAGTAAAATTAAAAAAAAAAGAGCTGGAAGCAGTTGGCCATTGTCACCAAGCCCCTCCCACACTGATTGCCGGAATTGCCTGATTTTCTTTGGAAAGTTAACAGGCACACACAAGGAGCACAGTGTTAATTGAAAGGTTGGTAGTTCAAATCCACCTGATAGCTCTACTGGAAAAAGACCTGGGGATCTGCTCTCCTGAAAATTACATCCAGACCTGGATCTGCACTCACCCCATGGTTCAGTTTATATATACACAGGTCTGTAGGATGAATGGGAGCTCTGGTGGCTTCGTGGTAAGGAGTTGTGCTGCCAATCCAAAGAAACTCAGTTCAAATCCACTAGCTGCTCTACAGGACAGAGATAGACAATCTTCTCACATACCATTTGCAGCTCCTGAAAACTCACTAGAGTCAGCCATGAGTCAGTGCAGACTCCAACATACATAACAAGAACAAAAGGGTGAACAGTAACACAAGAGAGATACTGCTCAGAAGCAACCATACACAATCAAAGGGCAACATTTTCCCAAGTCAAAGGTTCAGAAGGGAGGATGGAGTAAGAAAAAAGGGTGATGAAACACAGGGAGGGAATGTGGAAGGTGCTGCTATGGTATAAGAATTTCAATCAATGTCACAAATCAAAATGTATATGAATTGTTGAATGGAAATCAGATCAGTTCTGTAAATTTTCACCCAAACCACAACGTTGTTGTTGTTAAGTACTGTCAAGCTGAGTCTGAACTGACCTACAGCTGCTGCTGCTTCAGCGAGTTTTCAGAGACAGTAAATCACACAGGAGGAGACTGTCCATCCTTCTCTCACAGATGGATTCAAACCACATGTTTTTGGGATTGCAGCACAGCTTCTTACCACTAGGATACAAGAGCTCCCTCAAATCACAATTGAAAAATTTAAAAACAAAACCAAACAACTCGATGAGGCAGTTCTACTCTGTCATATGAGACCTATGAGTAGAAAATGGGCTCAAATCCACAACAACAAGGGTATGCATGAGAAGAGAGAGCAGAA